ATAAAGGGAGGTGGAGGGTGGGGCGAGCCGTGGCATGGCCTCTTCTTCCGCAGTGTTTAGTGGATATTAGCGTCGTCAGCTGCATGTTGTTGTTGTTGTTGTTGTCGTTAGAGTGCCCCTCCTTCGCCGGGGCGGAGCAGCAAGGCTATCTGTCATCAGCTTTTTTTTTCTCTTTTTTGTTGTCTTTTTTACTTAGAGGTTCTTGAGCGGTGCGGCGCATGTCAGTCGAAGCCTGTCGGACGCCTCCTACAAAGCCTGCAGCAACAGATGTTTCTTCCTCTCCACGACATCCACGTAGGGTGAAATTCCCTCATGGTACAGCTGCAGCACGCGCCCCCAGTATTCCTTTCCACCCAGCAGCGAGGAAGTACTGCTTTGCGACGCTTAAGCGGGCCCGTGTTTCCACAGAAATGGGCAGTGCTGTAAGGAACGCTAATGCGGATGAAGCCAAGCGGAGGTGTTCGCCGGGTGCCGCTCACGCAGCGGACATCGAGGCAGGCAAAAGCCGACGAAGCAAAAAAGCGACTAAGCCGTTGTGATGGGCCTCAAAAAAAAAACGAAGAACGCAACGCTCCTTTGTTGTTGTGGTGTTCCCAGAAGCCGGTAACTATATTTGTTAGTTACGGAGATAGAGAGATCAGGTGTGAAAAAGTGAAATAGCGGGCGCGGGGTGGAATCACTTGTGTGCGGCGAGGCGCACTGGGTGCAAGGCAAGAGATCCCGCAGGAAGAGGCAAACGTAGAGGCTTAGCTAACCGAATATGTAGTGAGAAGGGAAGAGAGGGATGGAGCGGGTAAAGACCAAATGAACGTCTTCGCCGCTTCCGTTCCGTGCTTCTATCTGTAGCTCCACACGACACGGAGGTGCGAGCTGTGGGTGTATGCATACGCGCAAAACTCCCTGGCGTGGAGTGGAGTGGCGTTCAAGCCACACACACACACGCACACGCACACACAAAGGAAAATAACAACAAATAGTCCATAAAAACACACACCGAAAAAAAAAGATATAAACGTGTAAGAAAAGATCGGAGGGCGTCTCACCGTGTTTCGCAGCACTCCCGCCGTGAGAAGTCACAGCGACAGCATCACCACATGAGATGCCGCACTTTCTGGCGACGTCAATGCCCCCCCACAAAGAATCTTTACGGAGCAACACGGCGGAGGCAGACCATGACGCGGTTATCGCAGGGGCGGCAGCCGCGAGATGTGGTAGAAGTGACTGTGCCGTCCAGTACGTCGTTGGGGCCGGGCGTTCTCCAGAGTCGAGGAGTGTGATTTTAGCAGAAATATCACCGGCGGCGATGCGGCCATGGTGCATTGCGACACAGCGGATGGGGAAGCGTGTCTTGCCTGTGCCAAACGCCTCCTCCCGCACGTTGCTCATTAGACAGCGCATGACAAACACCCGACCTCCCACCGTCCCTGCAACCACGGCAGAAGAGTCCGGCGACATCGCAATGCTAGTAACTTGGTCCGGTACTGCAAGCACCGTCAGCGGGTCACTCCCGCAGCGCACGTCGTACAACAGAACTTTGCCATCATAATTAGCCACAGCCAAAGTGTTTCTAGTGGCCGCCACAGCCCCAACCACGCGAGGTTTTGGAATGGTGAGGCTCAACCGCACCGCGGCCCGTTCCACGTCTATTACCTGCACGCCCACTGGTGATGCGCTCAGCAAGAGGGAGGGCTCCTGCGGCACCTCCTTTAGTGATAGCACAGGCGCCTCATCCTGAAAGGTGTAGCACCTCACCACCGATCGGGACTGGCGTGAGACGACGACAATGCCTCCCACGGATGACCCAACGGCCAGGCATGAGTCAGACGACAAAAAGCAGGAGGAAATAATGGGATCACCGCCAACGATGTGGTGTGGAAAGCTTTCTAGGCGCGCCGCATACCGTGGGGAGAGGCCACGACAATCGTCCATGTTAAAGATATGGGTTCCGTTCATGATGGTGCTTACAAGGCAGGCATTGCTGGCGTCGCTGTAAGTCATGGAGGAGATACGGCCCTGGACCTCAAACCGGCAGCTGACGCCATCGTTCTCCGCCATGGCTGCCCCACTACGCCTCAACCCTTCCCGCCTTCCCCTCTACTTCTTAATATTAACCCTCACCGCCCCCCCCACCCAAAAAAAAAAACAACAACAATAATTAAACGAGAAAAGGTGGAAGAAGAAAAAGAAAACAACATCAACCGCAGCGCCACCGGTAAGGCATCAGCATAAAAACTAAAAAGGAGTTCCAAAAATGCATACGGGATTCTGGCAGTGCTGAGCTGCGTCACACTCATATTACCTGCAAAATATATTGATACCTGTAAGCCATTGTAGTTGTGTTGGGAGTTCCGTGTTCGCCGTTTTTTTTTTTTGATGGCGATGAGGGAAGGGAGCTGTTTGCAAACGGAGGGGCTGATGTGTTAGCGTGCGTGCGCCTACGTTTCGTCACCACTCGTTCATTTCGCTGAGGCGAGTGGAGGCATCAAGCGAACCCGGCCACTACTTCTTAAAGAATTTGAACGGGTAAAGCACGACGCCTACGCCGGCGCCAATGGCAACTGCGGCGGGTATGTGAATAGGAGCATATGCAAAAAAACATTTTGTGTTAAGACGAACAAACTCCCTCCGGCGCTCGCGCCATGTTCGTTCGTTAAACACTGCCCACATTCCCGGATAAAAGAAATGAGAGAGCACAAGACACGATAGCCCTGGCACCTGTGCAGAGAGAGGGCCGAGATACGGCATAAACCCCTTCTTCGCCTTCTCGTTCGTGATACGAGGTTCTATGAGAAAGTAGTAGGCGCACCCGCTAGCGATAAAGTTCACATAGAAGAAATCACTCATCATGCGCGGGATGAGCGTCTTCTTTGCGTCCTGCGCCTGTGAGAGTTTCAACAGCGGAGAGGAAGGGATCGAGACACAGAAGGGGACAGCAAACAGGACAGCACAAATCGTCGTGCGTACAATAAGCTTGAACTTGGAGTGACCTCCCGCGCGCTGTTGGAGTTCATTGCCCCGCGACGACGCCGCTTGTGGCAGTTCAACGCACGACATGTTGCCGGCCCTCCGAAACGCCTCAAGCAGACAGCCACCGCCTCAGCTTACTACTGCGCTGCCTATTCAAAGAGAGAGGCCTCTCAGCTTCCGCCTGGCTGCGGCAACTAGAGCAAACCGTAGAGAGAGAGAGAGAGAGCGGTGGAGCAGGAGCAGTCAGAGTCAGAGAGGTAGCGGGAGCCAAGGGAAAACAAAAATCAACGCGCCGCCAGGTAAGTTTTACCACTGTTCGTCATGCAACAACATGCGATCCCCTTCAATGGCAACGGGCGAATCCGACAACGCACCCAACCACGGGGAACTTGCAAAAAAAAAAGCAGCACCCACAGAGAGACACACAGAGGCACACATAGGCACATCGGGAAAAGGCTGAAGCAAGAGAATGGACAAAAATAATAAAAGCAGAAGGGAGACAGCAGTAATTAATCAAACCCCTCCCTCCGCAAGACGTTGCACCAATGCATAGCTTGATGGCTACGAGACTCAATTTCATCGACGTCAAGCAGCTCTGGTGGGGCATCGATGAGCCTGCTAGTCTCCTCTGTCCGTAACTCGAGCTGATGAATGCGGTAATGCAATGATGAGCCTGCAGTCCCACTAAAGAATAGAACAACATACGCATTCATGAGCACAACACGACAATCGCGTAGTACACGCCGTGTGTTGTATAGAAGCGATAACGTCTTGCCTGATGTTGAGGGACCCTTGTGGTACTGCGCCAGTTTTCGTACCTTCTCAGAGCTCTCCTGTAGCAAGTTTGTCTCCATCGCAATACTGCGCTTGTGATTGTCCCACCGTTCATAGTAGTCGAGAAGCATGTTTTTTTCGTTCTTCACCTCGGCTTGTCTTACATTGTTGCAATTGTAGAAGTTGGCGTTGTGTTCCGACCAGGGGCCTAGGCAGATCCAGCAGTACTCATGCTGGCAGCGTGTACACTTCATGTGATTGCAACCCAAGTTTTTCTCCACACGGACGAAGCACTTGGGACACCCCTTCGTCGTTTCCTGAATAAGCGCCAGCGAGGGTTCGTTCTCCTGCAACAGCTTCGCCCAGTTTTGTACCATTGCACACGTCGCCGGGGCGTGAGGGGCCTGAAGACACTTAAAGCAAAACTCCAGGGCGCAGATATCGCAGCAGACCTCTGGGCCCGACTCCCGTAGGGCGGCAACGCGTATCACCCCTGCACACGGTGTCACATTTGGGCAGAAGCGCATGTGTGTGTTGCCGCCAACGTAGTCGTTGAGAAAACGCCGCTCCGCCTGGCCGTACTCCTTTGGCGGTAGAAGCGCCTTAAAGAGATTCAACCCCACAATGCTGCAGCATCCCCGCGTTGGGCAGCGTTTATCGAGCAGGTCATGGCCGTACTTTACAGCACAAATAAGATTTGTGGTGAGGCACTCAATACACAAGAAATGACGGCAGCTTGCTAGCCCCACCGTCTCCTCTGCTGGGACATCGTCGCCGCAAATAGGGCACTCCATCGATTGGTTGCCCCGCACCAACTCGGCGCCAGCGCCACCACTTCTAAAAACTGCCTCAGTAATGCGCAGCTTTTCGTTGACTTCATCCATTTCAGCGAAGTATTTCTCAAGCGTAGCGTCATCCATCTTCCAGCCGTAATAGCGCAGGACGAGAAGGGCAGCCTCCGGCGTGAGGCCGAGTATTTCATTGGCCTTTTCAACATCGCTTTGTAGACCCGCCAAAACCCCGCTTGTGGACAACGTGGTAAAAAGCCTCGCATTCGCGCGGGCATCCGCCAACGGCCGCTCAGCCGCCGAAGGTGGCACCAGAGCCCATTGGTCGTCGTCGCAGCCGTCGCAGTCCACGGTGTATTCCGCAATGTCGTAATACTCCTCTTCCGTGTAGGACATCCAATCAAACAAGCAACTTGAAACGCCCCTGCGAAGCCTTCGGTGCCCCACCCACAGCGCCCCACGTCCCCCTCGCTTTGGTTCCTACTCCTCCTCCCCTGCGCCTTTTCGGGCCCCGCTTGGGTCCAGTTGCGGACCGTTAGTGTATGCGTGCGTGAAGGCCCGGAGGTGACACGCACAAACACACACACACACACACACACACACACATACACACGTAGGGAAACAACGCCAACGAGGATGCAGAAGGGGGCAAAGGCAGGCTAATTTAAACAAGCAGAAATCAAGGAGAATACGTCACACCGAAGAAGGAAGAGAGGGGCGGCGGCAAGGCAAGTCTTTTTTATACAGAAAACAACAACAACAACGAGAGCAAAAAAAAGAGAGAGAACCGTTCACTCCGCAAGAGGAAAAGCTTTAGCGCCACTCTGCCTCGCCCAACGACGCCTCACCTCATGTGAGTACCATTTTTTATTTTTATTTTTTCTCTTGTACGCAAAAGAAAAAGGAGGACGTGTCACAGTCAATTCCAGCAGTAAAAAAGCCTGTCTCTCTCTCTGCGTATGTGTGTGTGCCTGTGTTCTCCGCTTCCGTCTCACACTTAACCGTAATTAAGTTCCACACGTGCCTCGCAACGCTATCGGGCGGTCAGCTGCCCACCCAACGACCACTGCTTATACCACGCCACATCGCTGGGGCTAATGCGCGGCCTCACCCGCTGCAGGGCGGCGTCAACATCCTCACGGGTGAGGTGTGAGGCTTTCGCATCCATCGTAACCCGCAGAAATGCCGCCTCCTTCACCACCGCAACGACCTCAGCGCCACTATACCCCGCCGTTCTCTGGGCCACGTAGTCGGCATCAAGGTCGGGTGCAACAGGAATGCGGGAGAAATGGATACGAACAATTGCCCGGCGTTCCGAGGCATCTGGCAACCCCACGTAGACTTTGCGATCGATGCGCCCGGGTCGTAAGACAGCAGTGTCGATGTTGTCAGGGCGATTTGTTGCCGCCACAAAGACAAGCGCATCCGAATTTTCGTCGAGGGCCGCAGGGAGTCCGTCCAATTCGGTCAGAAATTGTGAGATGACGCGGTCTGAAACTCCACCACGTCCCCGGTGCCCGCACATGCCGTCAAGCTCATCAATAAAGACTACACATGGAGCCACCGAACGTGCGCGTGTAAAAATATCTCGCACCGCCTTTTCACTGTCTCCCACCCACTTGGAAAACACCTCAGGCCCCTTGACGGAGATGAAATTCATTTTGGATTCGTTGGCAAGAGCTTTAGCCAGCATCGTCTTGCTACACCCCGGCGGGCCGTACAGAAGAACACCTCTTGGCGGTGACAGTTTAAACTTGCGAAATACCCACTGCTGCTTTCCAAGGCACCATGCAACACAATCCTGCAAAGTCTTCTTCGCCTCCTCGCTCCCACCAATGTCGTTCCAGGTGACATTCGGCACGCACACCTCAAACTGCTTTAGAGCGGAGGGTCGCACCAACTTTGCCGCCGCCAAGAGAGCGCCATCCGAGGGGGTGATGTTTCCTGTCATTTTAAAACTCTCCATCATGGCCACCTCCGCCAGACGTGCAAGGTCGCACTGTGTGAAGCCGTGCGCTTCCTGTGAGACCGTTAACAGGGTCGCCTCTGAGATGCTATCCAGTCCACCACGCTCCTGCAAGCATGTTTTTAGGCACGCACAACGCTCCTCCCAGGATCCAGGCGTGAGCAGCGTCACACGCCTTCCAAGGCGCTCGGGTGTTAATAAAGAGCGATCCACCGACTCTGTTGATGCGGCGGAGGCGATAACATGGACGTCAAGCTGGCGCCCCCGAATGTCATCAAGCTCCTCCTTCAGGGCCACCGCCACAAGCGTTGCTGCCCACAAAGATCCCGCTGTGGAGCTGCTGTTGGCCCCGCAGACAAGGTGAAGGTCATCAATTAACACAGTTGAGGGTGCCGCGACCTTTGCACGTGCAAAAGCTTCACGCAAGACAGTCGACGTCGGCACCTCACTCATCTCTCCTTGCGGAAGCTCCTGAACCAATATAACCTCCACGTGGCGGCACTGCACCGCTGTGGCGTCCCTGCCCTCTTGCTGAAGAAAGCGACTCTTGCCCGTGCCCGCTTCCCCCACCACCAGCACATGCTGCAACGCCTGTGCATCCTTTAAGGAGCTCTGAGCGTTTTCAGAAGATTCATTTTCGACGGAAGTTACACGGCCACCGTCGCGTATTACCGTGCAGTCCGCCAAACCACCTAAACTGACCTCGGCTTCGTTCAGTCTCTCTTTATCTTTCTCAGCTGCAACACGCTGTGAACATTTAACCACCTCAACGAAAAAAGGCTGCGTCGCCACACGCACAACTGCGCGCATTCCTTTGTAAACCAATCGGCACCGGTATTGGCGCCGAAAGGCGGCAATGACCTGCAGAATTGGCATTTTCACCGTTTCCTCCACCTGCATCGCACATATTCCCTCACGTAGCTCACAGTTTATCTCCAGAATCACAACAGCAAGCGGCACCAACGGTAGAGGGTTTGCCATCACAGACACCCTCACCTGCTTATCTATAAAGGCGGCAGCGACCTCGTCAGCAAGTTCAATGCTTTGTGAGTGACACGAAGCCGAAAGAAACGCCTCGGCGTAGGCCTCAAAATGCCCCGCGAGGAGGTGCAGCACGGCCCCACTGACGATTCCTAAAGCCCGTAAAGAGGCTGGGGAGAGTCGTGCCTCGTTAGAAGGCAAAGAACTATTGGAACGTATCTGCAGGGACAACTCAACGTCTGACACATCGCTCTGCCCCAGGCGCGGTGAAGGGGAGAAATCCACCGATGGGCGAGGTGGGCTTGAACCCGGACGACCTTCGCGTCCTCGCCCTTTAGGCGGCTTATCCTCCGTGCCAGAGGCCGGCACGCGTACAAAGCCAGTTCCATCCGCATTCGGCCGAATGGGCGGCTTAAACCGTGCTTTCTTCGGCGCCATGCTACAAGCGCAGGCACAAACTACGCAAGGAGGGGAGGAGAGGAGAGAAGGCAAAGGCACACATCAAAGACGGAAAAAGAGACCAAGAACAAAAAAGGCACCAAACCACCTTCACAGCACCGACGGCAAGAGGGACAGCTGTCCCCCGAAAAAGAGAAATCTGAATGTGCTCACGTCTTAAACAAATATTAAAATAGGTGTCCTTGCTTAATAAATAACTAAAATAAAAAGATATATATGTATGAGGAATTGCTTCTTTTGCGTCCTAATATCCCTTATCATTCAGGCGATCACTGTGCATTAAAAATAACAAATAACAGGCAGCGCACGCGTTATTTAACTCGCCCCACTCTTGGCTACTCCTCCCCCGCTAATTCCTTCCACCACCTTCCGTAAAAACAAACAAACAAACAAACAAAAAAAGGAAGGGGGGCCCACGCACAGATAACGAACAAAATAAGAATTGGCGCAGAAGCGTACAGTAGTTTTGTTTTAATGCAAATACTCTATGCAGCACCAACTTCTTGTTTTCTTTTTCCGCTGTTTCAGCATGTTTTCATATAAAATTGCTTTTCTCTTAAACACCGCACATCTCTCTTTCAATTTCATTCCTTCCTCCTCACTACCACATAAAGCAGCAGAAAGTATCATTGGCCGAAACCAAAATCAGAAAGAAGAAATCAAATAAATAACAAGAGAAAAAGCCGCCATTTCATTTCGAGGAAACGAATTAAAGTGGTGACACGAAATGTGGTCATAATAAGCAACAAAGGGGGAAAAAAAACAGGCATAACAGGTAACTGCTGGCCACAGAAGTCAAAACTCACACAGTAGTATATTACTCATGCGAAAAATTCAACAAGATCCTACTTTTACTACTTCTGCTGGTCACCCTGTTGTTGTTGTTGCTGCTCACCCTGATTGCCGTCTGTGCCACTGCTGGAGCCGCTGCTGTTAGCCGCCGCAGCCTGCTGATATTCCGTGCGGCCGCACTCCATAACCGCCTTCTGCAGCTTGTCTGTTTCTGCCGAGAGCTCGTCCTTCGTCACGTTGGGGTTCCCCATCACCTTGCGGAGCTCCGCCAGCAGCGTGCGCACGTTCTCCTTCTCGGCGTCACTCACGTACTTCCACTCCGTCAGCTGGCGCTCCGCCGTGTTCGCTTGCGTCTCGGCGTTGTTGCGCACCTCCACCAGCTCGCGCTTCAGGCGGTCCGACTCCGCGTGCGCCTCAGAATCGCGGATCATGCGCTCAATCTGATCCTTGCTCAGACCGCCATGCGCCGTGATGGTGATGTTCTGCGTCTTGC